CACAAAAAACAGAAACAGAAACAAAAAAAGTAAATAGAGAAAAAAAAAAAGGAAAAAGAAGAAGACGAAGAAGAAAATGATGAAAAAAAAACAAAAAATAAAATAAAATATAAAATTAAAATTAAAAAAACACACACACACACACACACACAGACAGAAGTATATTATTGAAAATGTCAATTTCTTCTTCAATTTTTTTTTTCTTGCTTATATCTTCACCCTTTCTCCACTTTTCTCATCTCCTTTTCATCATAATTTTTTTTTTTAATATTTTGTCATAATAATAATAATAATAATAATAATAATAATAATAATAAGAGTTGCAATCAGACACTAATTTTCATGTTCCACGTTCTTTTTTTTTTTTTTTTGATTTTCATCTCGTTTGTTAGTGCCAATAAGAAATGGGGAAAAAAACAAAATACGGTTAACAGTAGACTTTTTACAATGCAATTTTCCTAGTTGATGATGATAAATTGTTGAAAAATAGTTGAAAAATAGAAACACACACAAAAAAAAAAAATTGTTTAACAGTGAAATAATAATAATAGGAAAAAAAATTAGGAAAAATTATAAATTAGTGATAAACAGTAAATGTTTTTTGCAGTAAAATCTGATTACACTGCATTTGGTTGGCTTCAAATCAATTCAATGAGCATAATAAATATTCATACCGACAACAGTTTTGGCCGCTTACTGCTAACTTATAGTTAAAACAGTAAATTGCATCAATAAGTATATGATAACCAAGTCCTTTTTTTTTCCCTTTTTTGCTTTAATTTAAGCATCTAATATTTACCAGCTGTTAACATTTTCTGGATTTATGTTCTGAGATACATCACATCCAAATCTGCCTCTGCCTTGCAAAAGTTTCATTTACGTAACAGAGAGAGGAGAAAAAAAAATCTTTAAGATTATTACGCTGATTACGTCGACACTTAAACCTAATAAAAAAATTTCTTTTTTTTTTTTTCTATTAGGCTGACGTCTAGTAAGTGGGCGAATGTAAGAAAAAAAACGAAAATGTATCAAGAAGGAAGAAAAAAACAAGACAAATGCAATAGTTTACAGTGTTGTTAAGAAATTTAGCTATAAAATCAACTGATTGAAACAACAACAACAACAACAGAAATCAACAGTTATCATTATGTTTTGATTAAGCAAAAAATCGATCCGCAGATGGTTTTTGTTCTTTTTGCCTTTAATTCTCTTTTTATACTTACTTTAATAATTTAATTACTTAAGCCATTAAAGTTTTTTCTTTAAAAGATACTTCTAGTCTAAGAAGATAAATTAACAAAATAATGCTCAGTATTATTCTAGCTTTTTTTTTGCTTAATTTAACCAGATAAACTGCTGTGACAAGAAAAAAAAAAACTGATAACAATGACGAATTAGCAATAAATTTGACGATGCTCGATGACGATGACCGACATCGACGGCGGCATCTACGAAAGCATCGACGAGGGCAGAGGCAATGATGCCAACGACAACAGTAACAGCAACAATCAGCAAAAAACAACCAACAACAATAGTTTTTTAGAAAACTGGATTTGTCTAGATGAAAAAAAAAAATAAACGAGAAGATAGTAGTCGAATAGTAATGAAGAAAATTCAATGAAATAATATTGGAATTGCAAAAATTACTTTTGAAGAAAGATGAAAAAAAAAAAAAAAATTTGAACTTTTAATACAACTTTAAATAGTGAAATTTTTTTCATGAAAAGTATATTTGTTTTTATAAGAACGCAAAAAAAACTGAAAAGATAGGTTTGAGATAGAAATGGAGGTGAAGAAGAAGAAGAAGAAGAAGGGGAAAACCCGGGGATTAAGAGTTCTTTTTGATTTTTTTTTTTATTTTCTTTTTATTTGCTTATCGTAGATAAAAAATTGGTTGAACACTGAGGGAGAGAGAGAGGGAGAAAGAGAGAGAGGGCAGTGGTAATATTTGTTAATCAGAGGTGAAAATAAAGTTAAAAAGCATTTCAGCAGTTGACATTTTCAAAAAAAAAAAAAAAAAATTTATGTTTTTATACTTCTCTTTTAGTGAGACGATGTGAGAAGAGAGTGAGACAGAGAGAGAGAGAGAAAGAGAGAAAGAGAGAGAGAGAGTGTGTGGAAGAAAAAAAAAATTATCCGTAAATTAGAAATTCAACCCAAAAAAAAAATAAATAAATAAATAATTATTATTTTTTTTTATCTTTAAAAAAAAATTATTTTTTAATATGTCCATATGTATTTTGATTATTTTTATTATATTTATATAAAATAATTCTTGCTTTAGTGTTAAATGATTGCTGATAATACTGCTACTGCTACTGCTACTGCTACTGCTCCTGGCTACTTCAACTTCTTCCTCCTGCTTTACCGATTGTTGTTTCTGGCTTCTGATGCTGTTGACGCTATCCGGCCCGGTGATGTTATGCCCTTATAGTGGTGATAATAGTGCTATTTTTCTACTAATGTTATGTGCTGCTGTTGTTGTTGTTGTTGTTGTTGTTTTGAGAATGATG